TTTGCTGTCACACACAACCATGACATTGCATGCAATGCAGAGGGTGGTGAAGAACATCATCCCCGCTATAGCATCAACATCTCATGATTGCCATGCCATCACCTCCCTCTTGTGCCACACCATCACATTGCATTTGATACAGGGGGTGGTGAAGAACATTATCCCCGCTATAGCATCAACCAATGCCATCGTATCAGCGGTGTGCGCACTGGAGACTCTCAAGATCGCTACAATGTGCTCCGCTGGGATGAACAACTATGTGATGTGAGTGAATGTGCTTATACGTATGAATGCGTGTCGAGAGAGGATGTGTTTGTACGCATAGATGATTGCATGATGTAAGTCACCGTGCTTAATTCAGAAGTTACCTGGTGTTTTTATTCAACGTGCTTCTATGTCTGAACAACAAGGTGCTGTAAGCAAGTACTCCACGTGCTTCTTTCATCAAATAGAGCACTCTTGAATCTCCTCTATACTTATCCCAATCCCCACATGTGTGGGCCCCACATCACAGGTATGTGGGCACGCAGGGGGTCTACTCACACACCGTGGCCTATGAGAGGGACCTCGAGTGCCTTGAGCAGATATGCCACACTTCTTTCTCCCCTGTTTTTTTCCCAAACCCCGCATGTGTGCCCCCCACCCCTCAGGTATGTGGGCACGCAGGGCGTTTACTCACACACGGTTGCCTATGAGAGGGACCCCGAGTGCCTCGTGTGCAGCGCTGGCGTCCCTGTGACCGTGCCATCCACAGCCACCCTGCAGCAGGTACGTGGCGTGTTCCAGCACTGTAGATTGCACCCGGGAGTGCCAGCATGGTTGCAAAACCGCCTTGCAGTTACACTTTGCAGCAGCTTTCGCTCCTTGCAGCAGGTGATGCCCCCTAGAGCAACCAGGGCACGTGTTTTACTTTTCATGCTGACATCTCGTAGGACCGTCTTCTCCCAGCCCTTCATTGACCAGCTGTTGCCGTCAATAGCAACGAGGGCACGGTTTTTACTTTCCCTCTTGCATTCATTGTATCGTTTTCTCCCTGCAGTTCATTGACCAGCTATTGGCCGACCCACGTTTCGCCGCCCGCTTGCAAGCACCGTCCGTCTCTTTCTATGGATCCAACCTCTACCTCCGTGCCCCTGTGGTGCTCGAAGAGGCAACGCGGCCGAATCTTTCCAAGCCACTCAAAGAGCTGATGGATGGAGTGGGATGTGTGAATGGGGAGGAGGGCGGAGAGAAGAAGGGTGTTTCCGCTGGAGGGGTGTTGAATGTGAATGATAAGAAGCTAGCAGGTGTGCTGAGAGTGAGGGTCTCTTTCAAAGATGAACTGTGATTGGATACTTTTATGAACGTAAGCTGTGAACTCGTTTTGGGTGTACATTGTTGGAATGCAAATTAGGTCTTGGTAAAATACTGAAGCTAGCAATATTGATTGCTCAGAACATAGCTGTTATAGTGTACAAGTATGTGCAATGACGAAGCCTCAATGCCAATTCCCACGATTATTGTTCACTGCTACCCGCAGCTCGTCCAAGCCCTTCATCAACGGTCCGCATAGCAGTTTCGATTCAATCAACTCAACTAGGATGTCTGTCCGCTGGATTTAGCCGCACCGCACATTTCGAATTCGGGCAATAATTGTGACAGGGAGCACCGCAAGATGCGCTGAAGCACAACATGCTCTCTCCTCCTTTCACAACCTGAAAGCCTGTCATCTGCGGCTGCTCGTTGCTCATTCCATTTCAGAAAGTTATCCGCAGAAACTGCAGGTCCGTCGAGTTAGTCTCGAGCTGAACAACCGACATACGTGATTGAATTCGCAAGTTAAGCCGACAATATAGCCCACGGCAATTGGCGTCCGCAAATAGTCACTCCGTGTCACTGACAGCACTATCTCGCGCTTTTATGGTTGTGACCCAACTACTAAAGCGTAGATAAAATCTTCGTTTGATGCGCGAAGCCGTCTCGATCTCTGCTTCTCGCAGCTGCGTTCCTTCGTCACCTTTTGCGAGCAGAATTACACATACGGTAGTACTAGTACGATGGCAGCGCAAACGGAGCTAGTAGCACGATTTACCCTTGTCAAGGCAAGACAACGATTTCAGCATTCGTTCTTCTCAGCGTTTACCCGTCTCTTCTGTACGTATACTATTGGGGAAGGGTGGGACTACTACAACGCTCCGAGAGCCGCGCGTTTGCGTGTGCACCAAGTAACTAGTTTCCTTTTATATTATCATTTTCTTCCGCGTAGAGGCATCGCGCCCCTACATAATTCTTGATCGTGTCAACACACACACATTTTGCATGTGTTACACTCCAATTCATGTTACCAGGTTTCGCGATGCTGGCGGGTTTTTCGAGTGACGCTCACGCCCGGACTCAACAAGGTGAGGAAGGCTCAATGCGACAGAGCCACTCCGCTCGATTCTCGGTGTTCGGGTTGGGGAAGAGGAAGAGGGGACGAAGGGACGAGGGGAAGACGGGGCGAAAGACGAGAGGGCGAGCGGATGAGGGGAGGAGAGGAAGAGAGAACGAATGGATGAGAGGACGACAAGTGGAGAGGACGAGGACGAGAAGGTTGATACGTTTAACTCATAGAGGACTCGCAAATTGCGAGCTCAAACGTTGGACCTTGCAAAAAAGCACTACAGGGAGAGCTTACCGCACAGAACAAGAAAACGCATCGCCCCTTTTCTTTTCCCTTCCGCTCCATCTCCCAATGTTCCCTCACTTCTCTCGTCTTCCCTCTAAACATATAAATCCCCAAGAACGTGATGCACTGCTTTATTGTTATGTATACCATCGCGTGCATCACCATCCCATTGCGTGCATCACCATCCCATCGCGTGCTTATTGGTTTCCAACGTTACCACTTCTATTGGCAGTTAGCCTCGTGACGAGCTTTTCAGACAAAGCAGCGGCCGGCACTCTCAGCCTGCTCGTTCAAAGAAAGTAAGCAGCACGAATCCGGCACTGCTCGTTTCCTTCCTTCTCTCCAACAGCTCGTTTGCCCACAGTCAAGCAACTCTGCAGAGGAATATCTGTGTTGACTCTGTCCGCCATAGATCTTCTACTTATATTTCTTTGCTTGACTCTTCCTTCAAATCTGTTTTGATACCATCTCACCCCATTCCTCCCTCTGCCCTTTTCCACAGTGCCACAAATTACAACCTTCGCTACACTCTCGTGCTCACCGGACCAGCCACCGCACCCAAGCGAATCGCCTTATATCAGAGACAACAGCAGCAGCCCGTCATCACGATCCCCCTTCCCCCCCTCGCCTGCGCACAGCCCGCACCTTCCGTGTGGCACTGCTCAGGCGCGCCCGCCTCGCCTCCCCTCCCCTCTGCTCCCCTTGCCGCCCTCCTTGCTGCTGCTTCTGCTGGCGCTGCTCGTGGTAACACTGCCGGTGGCACTGCGGGCAGTAACACTGCAAGTGGTAACACTCCGAGTGGTACCAGTGGCATCGGATTCTCTGCTGCGGTGGTGGCCGCGGGGAGCAGCAGCATTGGCGCGTTATCTCAAGCCAAGGCGTTTTACGCTGGTGAGCTGGTGTGGGGGTGCGGGTATTGTGTGGTGAGGGGTGGAGAGTGGTGGTAACCGGTGGTGAGATGGAGAGATTCTGGAGGTAGGGTGTGGTGAGTTTGAGTAGGGAGGGAAGTAAGGATGAAAAATCAACTAATGCATTGAAGGAAGATCATGCCCTTTCACGCCGTACTCGTCCTCCACCACATTACAACCCTCTGCACCCCTCAACACTCCTGCATACCAACCCTCAATCGCTGCAGTCATTCCCTTGCTCCGCCCCACCGTGGCAGCATCGCTGGGGAAGCTTGAGCTGAGCTCGCTAACCTTTCATCGCCCCATCCTCCTGCCTGTCCCTCCCCCCTCACCCTCCTAACCGCCACCCCTCAGCACACCACCCTGTGCTCATCTGCCCTCTCATATCCCCTTCAGACCCCCCCCCATCTCCGCGTCTGCCCTCTCTGTCTCCTCCAAGACGGTTTTTGCATTCAGAGGCCATAAGGCACACTGGAGCCCGCCTGCGAGGACACTCAGAATCGCCTTCTCTTTGCCCTCCCGTGCACCCCTGCAGTCCCCTCCGCTCTCTCGCCGGTGCTCTACCCCACTGCGGCCGCCCAGCTGGGCGGAGCAGCCAAGGGAGGCGCCACCCTCTCTGTGTCCTCCACGTGAGTGCCTTCCTATCTCGACTTATCAACCCTCCGCAGTCTCCCAATGTCTCCCCCTAGCAGCAACACCTGCACCAACAACAGCCCCTTGCCATCACGCAGCAAACCTCTTGCCATCGCTCAGCAAACCCCTTGCCATCCCTCGCTCCCATTCCCTCGCATCCTTCTTTGTTGTTGCCTCCTTTCCCCCCGTCAGCACCAGTACCCTTACCGGCATCAGGTACCACTGCATTGGTCGTCAACCCCTCCCAACCCATCTGAATTCCTCCCCACGTCCACCCCATGCAGAAATATTCTCGCCAAGATCAACTACCTCGTCATTGTCATTAGCTCCACTCAACCCCTCCGATTGGTCAAGGTCTCCCTCTCTCCTCCCTCCTCCGCCTCCCCGACCATACCCTCCGCCACCTCCTCCTCCTCCTCTTCCTCCCCCACGTCCACCTCCCCCCCCACCTCCTCCACCTCCTCCACCTCCCCTCTCTCCCTCGCCTGCACGTGGGTCGCCCCACTCCCCTCGGTGTGGGTGTGCCGAGGAACAGCCATGGCGGCTCAGGTCTCCCCAGCAGCCAAGGCGCTGGCAGCGCTGCCAGCACTGCCGGCAGGGGCGAGGAGTGCATGTGTGGTTGGAGTGAGCGTGGGAGGAGGGGTCACTGCAACCCAAGCGGCACAGGGGGCGTTGGTGCGAGTGGCAGGGCACGTGCGGTGAGGCAATGGTTCGCTGCGACCTGGCTCTGGATTGTTGTGAGCTGCTAGGACTGCTGCCAACAAGCACTTCCTATAACATCACCTTTTAGCACCTTCAATATTCTGGATTGCCCACCATCTAGCAGACAATGCACAACCTGGCAACTGAACATACTGCAGCTCCAGGCAACTAAATATGGGCAGGAAGAGATGCTGCTGAGGGTACATTGGAACCTTGACACGCCACAGAAATTCACGTCAATAAATATTTTAGACCGCTCTGTACCGTCGAAAAGTTTCGATAATTTTATATACTTGGGTGTAATTCGGTGCAGCCGATTGTGACGTGTATTTTTGTGACGTGTCAAGCCCGAATTTACCCTGAGATCTGAGGGGCAGGGGTTAATACGCGGAGGAGTGGGCGAGGGGCGGCAGGGGTATGGTTCCCCGGGTGGATTGTTGGAGAGGACAAAGCAGAGGGAGCTGCAGGAGGGATGACGAAGCATTGAGGGGAAGAGGGGAGGGCAGAGGGGGAATAGGCAGGAAATGGTGCAGTGAGGCGGAGCAAGGTGCATGTTCCAAAGAAGCCATACATCCCCCCACCCTCCCCCCACCATACTGTTTCCTCTCTCTTATCGGGGGATTCCAAAATGGGTGGGTCGTGGGGGCATCACAGAAATTCAATGCGTTGCCAGGTCTGCTCTGCACCCTCCTCACCCCCGTACCCTCACTTGCACGGAGGGGGTCGGAGAGACGACTAGGCAGGCATCCTTGCGCACCATTCCGAGAGAGGGGGGAGGGGAGGGCGGAGGGGAGGGCGGAGGGGTGCGCGGAGGGGAGGGCGGAGGGGAGGGCGGAGGGGAGGGCGGAGGGGAGGGGGGAGGGGTGCGCGGAGGGGAGGAGGAATGATGGCATGTGGCGGCTCGAGGGATGTACAGGGGCAGGGTGCGCGGGACGTGTACTGTTGCTGGCGACTCGCCCATCGGATGGGGGGTCGGCAAGAGCGACCAGGTGAAGCAACCACGCTGACGTGCATGGGATGAGGCGACGACCAGGAATGTGAGAGAAGGAAACGAGCGGGTGGCGGGGTGAAGTCGCGAGGGTGATAAGGAGGTGAAGACGTCATCGGAAGGAAGGGGGGCTGCATGCTATGGGAGGGGATGGGAGGGGATGTCAACAAGGAGGAGAATCAAAGGAAAGAGAGGTCGCGAAAGTGGAGGACGAACGCGACCTAATCTCAGACTCGTGGGGGTGTCGAGGCGAGAGCGTTGGTTCAGCGACCCTACATCGTGATGCAAACGAACGACAACGAGGGGGCGGCGGAAGGGTGTGCGACTGGGATTGCGAGGGGAAACGTGAACGACGTCATCTCAATTGGGTGCGTGGGCGACGAAGATTAAGGGGATCCGCGATGAGTCGGGAGGAGGGAGGAGGGAGCATCGATGTCGATGAGAAAGGACGGCGAGGATGTGAAGCGTGGGTGACGGAGGGTGTCTGCCAAAGGAGATAACGATGTCATTTAATGGGTGATTCGAGGACGCGGTGGTTGGGAAAGAAGGCGATAGCCTTCGTTGTACGGAATGCGTGCCGGCGCGGAATTTTTTCCATAGATTGCGCGTTTTCTTCAGATTGGTGAAGAGACACATCGGGAACAATGGGGGAGCAAGGGAAGAAACTTGAGTGTGATTCGGAAACCCGTACTATAAGCACAGGCAATGCTTCTCTCGGCGTGTCTGCTCATATTTTCTGAGTAATGTGCTTCAAGACTTGTCGAAACTCGCACGGGACGAAGTGTGGTAACCAGTATGTGCGAGGCACCCTGTCACCAGTTTGCTTCGGCCTTTGTAATTCGGGTTCGGGCTTTAACTTGCTGATATGAGCAGCCCGACATGCTGATGTCAGCGGGCTCAACTATTGATGCAGAAATTGGGGCCACGCAAGCCTGTCTTCGGATTACACGTGGAAAGTGACGTATGCGAGAGCTAGCCATTCACCGTAGGCCCAATCGGGCACGCCTTTCACGCTTGTTCCCGATTGTGTAGTCGAACCTGGGTGGTGTGGGGTGATATGTGTAGACAGCACACCAATGAGCGCATTTGCGTTTCCGGCGATCGTCGCTGCAGGCAAATGAGGATTCCGCGAACGTGGTTACCAGCTCGAGTTTCCGCAACTAGCAGCCACATCCAGACCAGAAGCCCTCCTCCTTCGCCTGTCCTGAGCTGACAATAATGGCCTGACTTCTTTAGCTCGGCTTCACACAGCAATAATGGTCAGTGGGTCAGCCGTCTTTTAGAATGGAAGAAAATTCTGACCGCCACAACGGAGCTTCTCCCACCAGGCGTACGTGGCTGCGATCGATTGGTCCGGTGTGCCAGGAGGAAATTCTTCTATTGCATCCCAGACAGAGTTTATCCGCCCGCTCCTCCCGCCTCGCCATCTGCTGGCATGTTCTTGCGCCATGAAGAATTTCTCTATTGCATCCCACGATAGAGTTTATCTGCCCGCGCCTCCCGCCGCGCCATCTGCTAGCATGTTCTTCCGCGCTTCCCATAATTATGCTCCCTATCAGTCCCTCGCGCCAGCTCACTCCTTACAAAGGATCGTGAGAGGAGGGACTGATCAGTATTACGAGCACTTCCAACTTCGGTTTAGAGCAGCCAGCGCCTGTGCAGCTTTTCTCTCTAGTAGTCTACTCTTCCTCGGGCGTTCCCCCCTCCAGCCATGGCTCGCCAGACCCCTCCGTCGCTCACCATGCTGGTTTCCGCCATGATCTTCGTCTCGTCGGCTGCTGCTGCCGCTTACTCTGGCCCTCCCACAACCGCCGCCGCCGCTAGCAACAAATACGCCTTCGTCCCGGCGACAAACAGCCTTTTGTTCGGCAATGCATACTCGGTGACGTGGGGTTCCAAGGGGATCACCTCCGCTGTCGACTCCCGTGGCGCGCCTCTCAAATTCACCACCAACGCTGACGGATCCGTCACTGTTGATAAAGTGTACACCGCCTACCCCAACGGCACGCTCACCGGTCCCGGCATTGTTGTTGTCACCAATGGGCCCACTGTGGGGTTCACTATGGGAAAGACCACATTTCTGAAGAATGGAACGATTCTGGACGCCTCGGGAATGAAAGTTGTGCCGGCTGCTAACGCGGACGGGTCATACACTGCAGGGGATCTGACTGGGTGGAGCAACGGCACCATTGTTGGCCCCACTGGCGCATCGATCTATCTCGGCGCACCGCTCGCGCTCAACCCTGATCGCACCGTTGCTTTCGTTGCTCCCAGCAGCAACTACTCCTACAACCCGACCGCCAACAGCCTGACGTTCGGCAAAAATTACACGGTGACGTGGAGCGAGACAGGAAAACTAACCTCCGTTGTCGACTCCACGGGCGCGACTCTCAAAGGCACCAACAAACCCGATGGCTACACTATTGATGGCGCGTACACCGCCTATGGCAACGGCACGCTCACTGGTCCGGGCATCGTGGTCGTCATTAGCGGACCCACTGCCGGGTTCACCATGGGAAAGACGACGTTCCGGAAGAGCGGCAAGATTGTGGACGCCTCGGGAACTCCAGTTGTGCCGACTGCCAATGCGGACGGGTCGTACACTGCAGGGGACCTGACTGGGTGGAGCAACGGCACCATTGTTGGCCCCACTGGTGCATCGATCTATCTCGGCGCACCGCTCACCCTCAACCCTGATGGCTCCGTTACTTTCGCCAGCAACGGTGGCGGCAGTGGCAGTGCTCCTTCTGCTGCTCCTTCTCTTTCTGCTGCTCCTTCTTCTGCTGCTCCTTCTCCTTCTGCTGCTCCTTCTTCTGCTGCTCCTTCTCCTTCTGCTGCTCCTTCTCCACCTGCTGCTCCTTCTCCTTCTGCTGCTCCTTCTCCTCCTGCTTCTCCTTCTCCTTCTGCTGCTCCGGCTACTCCTCCCCCACCCAAGGCTGCAGGTAACTTGTTACTTCTGCACCCCTTACTGCTGTGCCATCCGTTCTTCCGCTTTCTGTTGCCCCTCTTTAGCAATCTTCGTGGTACCTCACCATGTAACCCCCCTTCACATTTCCACACCTCCTCAATCTGATTCCCTCTTTTCATCATCCCCTTGTTTCCTAGGAGCGGGTTGTTAGTTCTGCCCTCATTCTTATTGTCTTGTTGCCACCCTCGCAATGGCAGGTTTGCTTGCTACACCAGCCACTGCTCTCACCGCTGTCATCACTCTGATGCTTGGTTCAATTCTATTCGTGTAACGTGCCTGCTCCGGGTGGCACCGCAGGTTTAGACTCCCATGCCGTCTAGGCACAAATAGCAGTTAGTATAGTGTGCAGTGCAAACATTCTAGTGAGGACTAGTGCCTTGCATGTCCCCATTGCCTAGCAATTGCGTATCCCTAGCAATCCACTTTGTGGCTGGGTATGGTAATATGCAATGCAGTAGCATACCGTATCATAATTGGATTGAAACATTCCATTTGAATTTCCCTGTGGTTATCTCATCTCACGTTGTCATGTCTTGGTTTTTTATTCTTCTATGTGGCGATTGGGGTTCAAATTTGACGAGATAGGATGGACCATGCGTGCATCTCAGAAAATAAGGATGTCTTGCAATATGCATAATGTAAAAATCACCATACAGGTGGAGTTGTTGAGCTGTACGGTAAATAAAGGACCCAACTGGTATTGAACTCTGGTTTAAACCTTCAAACTAAATTGGACACCCTGAGGCCTCAGGGCAACCTCTCTGTTTTCATGGAAAAATCCTGACTTTACAGGGAAGATTTTGGTAAAGCTTGAGACCCAGATTGCGCAAGATTACCGTACGTATCTTGTGCAAGTTTGGGTGCTGAGGGGTGGGGGGTGTGAACGCAAACGTAGAGGGCAGTGACTTGTATGCAGGGCCCATGAAATCAGGGCAAAACAACCTGATTACCTTACCCTGGTTTTCAGGGTGATTTCACCCAACTGACTCTTTGATTCCCTCAGCACACGCCAGACTCGCTCGGCCTGCCAGTCACCTCACTTCCTTTGCACCGATCAAGTAGCCAATCAGCTCTCTTCGATCTTATGAATCAGCTGAGATCCATCGTCTGGAAACCATTCCATCTCAAATCAAACGGCTCTGCTTGACTCCAGCTCTGCTTGACTCCAGCTCAAGCAAACTGCCTGGTTCCAGTGGGAAAGATCGAGATTTGAGTTGAGACCCACGCTGTGTGGCCTGGCCTGTCACTTGTTGAATGGCGGCATTCTTGTGTGTTCTCACCAACCACGTGGCAACAAGAGCTTTCTGATAAGAGTTTGTAAAACACCTGCTTCATTTATTCACAGGCGGTTCTGCGTGTGCTCACAAGTGGACACCGGTGTGCCTCTTGGCCTGTAAGTGCGAAAGCCATCGTGGAGGAGGATGCCAGGAGGCAGACGCGGAGAGGGGGGTTCTGGAGGGGAGAGAAAAGAGGGCAGACAGATGAGCACAGGGTCGCGTGCTGAGGGGTGGCGTGCTGAGGGGTGGAATGCTGAGGTGTGGCGCAGTGAGGGGTGGTGTGGTGAGGGGTGGCGTGGTGAGCAGCGGCGTGATGAGGGGTGTCCGGTTAGAGAGCGTGGGGAGAGGGACAGGCAGGAGGATGAGGCGATGAAAATCGCAGCAAGCTCAGTTCAAGCTTCCCCAGAGATGCTGCCACGGTGGGGCGGAGCAAGGGAATGAATGCAGCGATTGAGGGGAGATATGCAGGAGTGCTGAGGGGTGCAGAGAGTTGTAACAGGGTGCAGGACGATGTGCGGCATGGAAGGACCTGCTTTTCCTTCAGTGCATTAGTTGATTTTCCATCCTTATGCCCTCCCTACTCGAACCCACCACACCTTACCTCCACACTCTCTCCACCTCGCCACCGGTTACCACCACTCTCCACCCCTCACCACACGCTACCACCACTCTGCACACCAGCTGACCTGCGTAGAACGCCTTGGCTTGAGATAACGCGCCAATGCTGCTGCTCCCAGCGCCCACCACCGCAGCAGAGAATCCGATGCCACTGGTACCGCTCACAGTGATGCCACTTGGAGTGTTTCTACCCGCGGTGTTACCACCAAAAGTGTTACCACCGGCAATGTTATCACCGGACGGCGCGGGCTGTGCGCAGGCGAGGGGGGGAAGGGAGATTGTGATGACGGGCTGCTGCTTGTCTCTGATATAAAGCAATTCGTTTGGGTGCGGTGGCTGGCCCAGTAAGCACAAGAGTGTAGCGAAGGTTGTATTTTGTGGCACTGTGGTGAAAGGGAGAGGGAGGAAGAGGTGAGATGGTATCAGAAGAGAGCTTTCATGAAGCAACGGAGTTCAAGCGGGACACCCACGGGAGATGGAGTCAAGACAGCTAGTTGACTGCAGAGTTGTTTGACTACGGGCGAACGAGCTGTTGGAGAGAAGGAGAGAAGGAATTTGTCGTCCGAGTCGAGCTTTGCAGAATCGTTGCTTACTTTCTTTGAACGAGCAGGCTGAGAGTGCCGGCTGCCGCTTTGTCTGAAAAGGCCGTCACGAGGTTAACTGCCAACAGGGCTAAATTGGTAATGTTGGAAACGATTGAATGGCTGAGGATGGAAGCTAAGTTGGATTGTAAGTTGGCGGATGGTGAGGTGAGACACGTGATTGGATGGTGAGGCTAAGAATAAAGAACTCCACACGCTTGCAGTTTCTGCGGGAATTCTTCAGACAAGGGCACGGCTGATAAATTTTAACAAAGAGCAGCCGCAGAATCCCGCGTAAAATAGGTTGTATACGGAGGAGAGAGAGCTGCGCGCGAGGTGCCAGTAGTAGTAAGAGAAACTGAACAATAATCGTTGGAGCTGGCATTGCAGTCTTTGTTATTGCACATGATTTAAGCTTGTAACATTACGTTACAGACCATGAATACTGCTAGCTTAAGTATCATAAACCAAGACCTTGTTTACTTTTGAACAATGTACAACCATAAAAGTTCAAAGCTTGCGCTAATGATTTTCTCCGATCACAGTTCATCTTTGAAAAAGACCCTCACTCTATGCACACCTGCTAGCTTCTTACCATTCACATTCAAAACACCTCCAGTCGGCAAGAAAGGAAAGTAATAAACGTGCCCTAGTTGCTGGGGATGGCAACGCCTGCTGCAGAAAACAAAAGCTGCCTCTAAGTGCAATTGAAATGAGGATTTGCTACCGTGCTAGCACCCCAGATACCTACTTGCTGCAGAGTGCAATCAGCCGTGCCAGCACATGCCATGCACACATACCTGCTGCAGAGTGGCTGTGGAAGGCACGGTCACAGGCACGCCAGCGCTGCACACGAGGCACTCAAGGTCCCTGTCATAGGCCAGGGTGTGTGAGTAGACCCCCTGCGTGCCCACGTTCCTGTGGGGTGGGGTGGGGCCCACATGTGGGGTTCGGGAAAAGAACAAGGGAGAGGGAAGTGTGGCATATCTGCTCAAGGCACTCGGAATCCTTGTCATAGGCGACAGTGTGTGAGTAGACTCGCTGTGTGCCCACGTACCTGTGGAGTGGGGGCCACACACGTGGGGATTGGAATACGGACAGGGGAGAGGGACGTGTGGCATATTTGCACAAGAGTGCACATGAGAACATTCAATCACATCACTTGTTCAGACATTGAAGCACTCTCAATGATTTCACTGAGGGATTCATGCGTATAAGCACATTCACTTACATCACGTAGTTGTTCATCCCCGGGGAGCACATTGTAGCGATCTTGAGCGTCTCCAGCGCGCACACCGCTGATATGATGGCATTGGTTGATGCTATAGCGGGGATAATAGTAACTGTCAACGTCAGTGGCGGAGATTGTGAGAAATAGTGCATTGGTTGGCATGCAGCATAGAAGCAGCAGCACAAGGACACGGAGCACAGCAGTACAGCGGCTCGCAACAGTGTTGGGAGGCGGATGGCAACACGCTGCTGTGCAACAGTGTTGGGAGGCAGATGGCAACACGCTGCTGTGCAACAGTGTTGGGAGGCAGATGGCAACACGCTGCTGTGCAACAGTGTTGGGAGGACGGTCTCGCCCTCACGCACATCGCACAGCAGCGTGTTGGAAGGGAGGGATACGTGAGAAGTGAAATGTGCGTGAGGGGCGAGAGTGACCCCTGCCATGCTGTGGTATTAGGTGGGCCGGCAAGGCGAGCTGGCACTCGGTGGCGTTGGTCATGGAATAGCTGTTGCCGTTGCCGAAGCGCAGCTCCTGCACGCAGGGCCGGAAGTCCCACAAATGCGCATACACAATGTTCACCGTCTCCCCGGGGAGCATCTGCAGTTTGCCGCTAGCACCGCGGTTCATGCGCATCTCACAGTACCCCGGCGTGGTCTGCACGAAAATGTCGCCTGTCTGGTACTGCGTGGGGTTGGGCGCGGGGTTGGCGAGGACGCCCTCCCATATGTTGTAGAAGTTGAAGCACTGCCACACGCGCAGCGGGCTGGTGACGTTGTAGGCGCAGCCGTTGTAGAAGGTCATGTTGTAGATGTCGTTGTGCAGGTCGTACGGCCCCAGGTACTGCGAGCGGATCGTCACTGTTGTGCGCCCGCATGCTGGAAAGTGCAGAGGAGGGGGGGAGGGAGATAAGGGGAGGGAGGGGGCAGGAGGGAGTTCAGGTCGTACGGCCCCAGGTACTGCGACCGGATCATCACTGTTGTGCGCCCGCATGCTGGAGAGCAGGTAGGGTTTGGGGGGGGTGGGGGAAAGGGGAGGGGGAAAGGAACAGAATAGAGTTGTCATTATGCATCGCCATGGTGTATTTCAGGAGAGAAACGGGGTAGGGGGGCAGAGAATTGCGAGCCAAGGGGAGAAGCGGAATGAGAGGCAAGGTGAGCAGAGAAATGAGGCAAGGGGAGCAAAGAAATGAGGCAAGGGGAGCAGAGAAATGAGAGGCAAGGGGAGCAGAGAAATGAGAGGCAAGGGGAGCAGAGAAATGAGAGGCAAGGGGAGCAGAGAAATGAGAGGCAAGGGGAGCAGAGAAATGAGGCAAGGGGAGCAGAGAAATGAGGCAAGGGGAGCAAAGAAATGAGGCAAGGGGAGCAGAGAAATGAGAGGCAAGGGGAGCAGAGAAATGAGAGGCAAGGGGAGCAGAGAAATGAGAGGCAAGGGGAGCAGAGAAATGAGAGGCAAGGGGAGCAGAGAAATGAGAGGCAAGGGGAGCAGAGAAATGAGAGGCAAGGGGAGCAGAGAAATGAGAGGCAAGGGGAGCAGAGAAATGAGTCAAGGGGAGCAAAGAAATGAGGCAAGGGGAGCAGAGAAATGAGGCAAGGGGAGCAGAGAAATGAGGCAAGGGGAGCAAAGAAATGAGGCAAGGGGAGCAGAGAAATGAGGGGCAAGGGGAGCAGAGAAATGAGGCAAGGGGAGCAAAGAAATGAGGCAAGGGGAGCAGAGATTGACTGACCTGTGTGAGGGAGAGATTGACCCCTGTGATGCTGTGCTAGTGGTGAGTGGACTCGCAAGGCACACACGCATGCATCACGCATGTGGAGAGTGCTTGGGCACACCTGTGTGAGGGAGAGCGTGACCCCTGTGATGCTGTGCTGCTGCGCGCGAATGAGAGCCTGTGGGAAGCAGAGTAAGGCGGGGGGAGAGATGGGGGAAGGAGGAGAGGGAAGGGGAGGAGGGGAGGACGGGTAAGGAGGGGAAAGGAGAGGAAAGGACGGGAGAGGAGGGGAAAGGTAAAAGACAGGTGGCCGTCGCATGAATGAATAAAAATGGTTAAAAGAGAAACGAAAGAGAGTCGCTCAGAAAGCACTACAGTGGTACCTTTTGGTAGATCCACTGTATGTCTCACCGTCCCACTGAATGAGGTGCGCGTCTCACCGTTCCACTGAATGAGGTGTGCGTATTCAATGCAGTGCGCGGGGGACCGCGGGGTCTCAGCGAGCGTGCACAGCGGGAACTTGGTCTGGGGGGGGAAGAGCCAGAGCGTGCAGTGGAAGCACGGCGACACCCCCGGGATGATCACTCTCGCGTGCCCCTTAAAGCCCTCCGTGCCCCCGTCCACCATGGGGCGGATTGATGAGAGGTCTAGCTCACCATCAGGCGAGTACTCTGGTGATGAGGGAGGAGACGAGGAGAGGAGAGAAGGAGGAGGGGGGGACACTGGGTAGGAAGAATGATCACTCCGGCATGCCCCTTGAAGGCCTCCATTCCGCCGTCCACCATGGGGCGGATAGAGGTTAAGCCCAGCTCGCCCTCAGGGGAGTACTCTGGTGGTGAGGGAGTGGGGAAAAGGGGGGGTGTTGGGTAGGGAGAATGATGATCACCCTCGCATGCCCCTTAAAGCCCTCCGTGCCCCCGTCCACCCTCCGGATCGGTGTCCGGCCTAACTCGCCATAACACGAGTATTCTGGTGGTGGTGGGTGGGGAGGGGTGGAGATGGAGAGCAGGAAGGAAGGTTCAAGGCACCGACATGAAAACACTGAAGACCCTTGACCAAGGGCATTGACGGGACGGGGTGGGAGGCGCGACCAGTGACATTTGTGAAATGTGAAAAGCTGAAGGAGTGTCATGTCAATGTATACTCTGGTCTGATAGGAGCTAGCATGGTGAGGAATTGGAGCAACTGAATGCCCCATGCCATGCCCACGGACAGAGAGTGCACATGGCAATGACAATCTGACAATAAGCTCAAAATTCGTTTGCACTATAGAGAGTTCCTTTCCCATGCACTTCGCTGCAGCCCTCACGACATTAAGGCATGACAGTGCAACGTGCACTTACCTGCAGACTGCATCTCCATGTGGGTGGCAGTCATCCAACCAAACGACTGCATCTCAAGGCGCGAGATGATTGCAGGCTGCTGCACGTGGGTGGCACTGTGCAGGCAGTCATCATGGGTGGCACTGTGCAGGCAGTCATCATGGGTGGCACTGTGCAGGCAGTCATCATGCAAATCGCTCACCATGCAAGCCACAGACAGACCTGTGTTATCCATCCAAACCAAGGACTCACCTAGAAAGCCACAGACAGGGCGCACCTAGAAAGCCACAGACAGGGCGCACCTAGAAAGCCACAGACAGGGCGCACCTAGAAAGCCACAGACGAGGTTGTTGATGTAGGAGCGGGCTTCGAGCGAGTCGAGCCCCAACACTATGATGTTGAAGTCGCTGAAGAAGGAGGCGGGGGAGGGGGGGGTTGCTCAAGAAGGAGGCGGGCTTGTCCTCTGTGCGACAGAAGTGCGGTGTCACCTGGTGGTTGGTGGGGACGGGAAGGGGGAGGTGGGTGGAGGGGGGGGGGGGGGCGGTGGTGAAGAAGGAGGCGGGCTTGTCCTCTATGCGACAGAAGTGGGGGGTCACCTGGTGGGGGTGGGGTGGGATGAAAGACGGGGAGCAGCAGTGGTGAGGAGCATGGGGGGAGGGGTGTCGGGGGAGGAGATAGCAGAGGCGGGGTGGACTAGAGATTGAGACAAGCAGGAAATATACGAGATTGGGGACTATAGCGCAAAGCACAAAGGGTGGAGAACTGGCAATGGCAAGTCACCCACTAACAAAAAGTTGCCGAGACTAAGAAAGGAACCACGCCTGGGCATGCCACAGCATGTCTGACTGGCCGACCACATACGACACGGAGAAACGGTGATAAACAAATACCACTTTCTGCATTTGCATTCGTGCGCACCTGTATCCCACACATCCCTCCCTCCCTCCCTCATCAACCCCCCCCTCCAAGCCCAAGCAGACTGGAGCTCTCGCCCAACCCTCCTCTCCCCCCCCCTCCCCTCCCTTTGACCCTCCTTACCCACTCCCCTCGCCGTGACTCACCTTCACCCCGCCCACGCGCCTCATGACTCTCTCTGCTGCCTCCACGGCCTTGGGCTTGCCCACGTCTGCCGGGCTGCACGCAGGGGCATGGGGCAGCACGAGGGGGAAATGGGGCAGCACGAGGGGGAAATGGGGCAGCACGAGGGGGAAATGGGGCAGCACGAGGGGGAAATGGGGCAGCACGAGGGGGAAATGGGGCAGCACGCGGGGGAAATGGGGCCGACGAGAGAGGGGGTAAGGGGTGTGCTGACACCCTCCCTCACATACTCTGCTGACACCCTCACATACTCTGCTGACACCCTCACATACTCTGCTGACACCCTCACATACTCTGCTGACACCCTCACATACTCTGCTGACACCGCTGCCGTGGGCTTGCCCATGTGTGCGGGAGTGCAGGCGGGAGCATATAGGGAGGGATGGGGAGAATGAGTGGCACATTGGGGACAGGGCTGTGAGGTCCATGCACTGCACTGCACTGCACTGCACTGCACTGCACTGCACTGCACTGCACTGCACTGCACTGCACTGCACTGCACTGCACTGCACTGCATTGCACTGCACTGCTCATCTGCTGTAGCTGCACTCTTCACGTACTGTTGCTTTCCACCCCGTTTGGGTACTTTCAATTCCAGTGTCCATGCGTTGTAGTAGTAGCAGCACTGTTCATGCACTGTAGCATCACTGTAGCATCACTGTAGCGTTACTGTAGCGGCACCGGAAGAGAAACTGTCTGTTGAGGTTGGAGACATCGATGGTGTCACTGTCACACCCCAACGAGTACACTCACTAGCAGCATTGTTTGTGCTCTGAGGTATACTGGACGAGGAACTGCATGTCGAGGTTTGAGACGTCAATGGTATCCATGTCGATCACGTCTATGCTGCCACACCCACCGACTCCATGCACTGTAGCAGCAATGTTCATGCCCGTGCCCGCACTGTAACCCACCGGAAGAGGAACTGGCGGTTGAGATTGGATTCGTCAATGGTATCCATGTCAACGATGTCGATGCTGCCACACCCCACCGAGCCCGTGCACTGTTTGTTTGTGCACTATAGCATCTGAGGCGTACCGAAAAAGGAACTGGCGGTTGAGGTTGGAGACGTCAATGGTATCCATGTCAATCACGTCGATGCTGCCACACCCCACCGAGCCCGTGCACTGTTTGTTTGTGCACTATAGCATCTGAGGCGTACCGAAAAAGGAACTGGCGGTTGAGGTTGGAGACGTCAATGGTATCCATGTCAATCACGTCGATGCTGCCACACCCCACCGAGCCCGTGCACTGTTTGTTTGTGCACTATAGCATCTGAGGCGTACCGAAAAAGGAACTGGCGGTTGAGGTTAGAGACGTCAATGGTATCCATGTCAATCACGTCGATGCTGCCACACCCCACCGAGCCTGTGCACTGTTTGTTTGTGCACTATAGCATCTGAGGCGTACCGAAAAAGGAACTGGCGGTTGAGGTTGGAGACGTCAATGGTATCCATGTCAATCACGTCGATGCTGCCACACCCCACCGAGCCCGTGCACTGTTTGTTTGTGCACTATAGCATCTGAGGCGTACCGAAAAAGGAACTGGCGGTTGAGGTTGGAGACGTCAATGGTATCCATGTCAATCACGTCGATGCTGCCACACCCCGACAGCACCAGGTCCTTGAGCAGCTCGCACCCCAGCCCGCCCGCTCCCACCACCAGCACTCGGCAGTCGTCCCTTAGGAACTCGCGGATCTGGTTGGCGTGGGGAACAGATTGGGGCAGGGGGGAGAGTGGGGAAAGGGGGAAAGGAATAGGTGGGGGATACATGCCACCAAGTGTTTGAGCAGCTCGCAGCCCAGCCCGCCCGACCCCACCACCAGCACGCGGCAGTCGTCCTTTAGGAACTCGCGGATCTGATTAGTTGGGGAGGTGGGAGGAGGCGAGGGAGTGGGGAAGGCGGGAGAGTGGGGCAGGTGGGAGGGTGGGGCAAGTGGGAGGGTGGGGCAGGTGGGAGGTGGGAACGGGTTGGAACGGAGAAAAGGGTGAGCACAGCACCAGGTCCTTGAGCAGCTCGCACCCCAGCCCGCCCGCCCCCACCACCAGCACGCGGCAGTCATCCTTCAAGAAGTCGCGGATCTGGTTGGTGTGGGTGGGGGGAGGGTGAGGAAGGGGTAGAAAAGGGTGGAAAGGAGAAGGGGTTGAATCACAGCACCAGGTCCTTGAGCAGCTCGCAGCCCAGCCCGTCCGTCCCCACCACCAGCACCCGGCAGTCCTCCTTTAAGAAGTCGCGAATTTGGTTGGTGTGGGGCAGGGGAAGGGGTGGAAAGGAGTGGAAAGGAGTGGAAAGGAGAAGGGGGTGAATCACAGCACGTGTTTGAGCAGCTCGCAGACCAGCGCGCCTGCTTGGGCTGGTGGGCGGAGGGTGGGGCGGGGCAGGTGGGAGGGTGGGGGGCAGGGGGGGAGGGTGGGGCAGGTGGGAGGGTGAAAGGAAAAGGAGGTGAATCCCATCCCAGCGGGTCTTTGAGGACCCCAGGCTGCCTACCTGCTCCCAACTCCACATCCCCCAGCCGCTTTCAGGACCCCAGCCCCAGCAAGCAAGCTCCCAGCCACCAGCAGCGCATGGCAGTTCGACTTGAAGGCGTTGCGGCTCTGCCTGGTGTGACGAGTAAGGAATTGGGGAGAGTGAGAAAAGGGGGAGAGTGGAAAGGAGGGACAGGAGGAGAGATTGAAACGCTGAAGGCCGTTCGCCGCGCGAAGGCCAGAAGCCTGCCCACACCGCACCAGCACACGGCAGTCTCACTTGGGTTGAAATAGTCGCGATTCTGATGGTGTGGTGTGGGGTGTGAGGAAGGAGAGAGTGGGGAAGGCAGGAGAGTGGGGAGAGTGGGGAGGGGATGAGGAGGAGAGGATGAGCCACTAAAGGTTCTTCAGGCCTGAAGCCTGCTCGCACCACAGCAGCACACCGCAGTCTCACTTGAGGAAGCCGCGAATGTGATTGGTGGGCGTGGGGCACTGGAAGGAAGAAAAGGTGGGATGCGCGAGCGAGTGGCAGAAGAAGAGGATGCGGGGGAGGAGGCTCTTTGAGACGTCTCAAATTGAGTTGGGACAACTCAAGTGGCAGATGAAGAGGGTGGGGGAGGAGAGGGTGGGGAAGAAGGTGGGGAAGGAGAGGGTGGGGGAGGAGAGGGTGGGGGAGGAGAGGGTGGGGGAGGAGAGGGTGGGGGAGGAGAAGGACACGCATGAGAGCGGACCGTTGAGCACCGTGCGCTCCCGCGCGCCTGCTCGCACCACGGATGCCAAGGCGTCACGCCACGTATGAATGACGGGTGTCATCTCAGTCAACCCACTCCGCGACGCACTCCCGCATGATGGCGTGGGTGGAAGGAGGGTGGCAGATGGTAGACTGGACGGCTAATAGCATAGGGCCTAGGGTCGTACGACAGTCTGGCATTCACAAGTGCAGCGTTTCTTACGGCACTCAGACGAGACCGTCTAAATCGCGTACGGCAGTTCCTCCGGCGAGGGTTCGAATCCAGGGCCGACGAGCATCCCTGGTCGAAGCAACAGACGGTCCAGATCTCGCCACTGCCCCTCCAGCTCCATCGCTGCGCCCTCCGCTGCCATCGCAGCCGCTCGTCGCGACGCCGATCAACGCGCCGCGGGTACCTAAAGCGGCGCGAATGCTCCCCGGGAACCAGAGCGTCGCGAACGCTCACTGGGAACTGCTGTGCTGCGCCGCGCGGCGTGGTACCGTCGATAAACGCGAATGACCCCTATCGACGGCTCTACTGCACCGGGGCAGAACGTGAGAGTGTGGTTTCGAAGGTCGCAGTGATCCGCGCGTCGCGTCGTCGATTTACGCGAATTGCGAGACGTACGTAATCAGAGGACATTTCAGAAAGACAGAAGGGTTGGCGAATCTGGGAGCGGCGAGGCGACACACGGGATGAGGGCGAGGAAGGTCAAAACTCATATTTTTAAAGCGGTACTGCTGGGTGGCACGGCTAAACAGGGCATATTCACTGGGTTGGGTGTTCAGGGCTGTTGTGTGATCATATATGTATAATGCCTTACTGTTTCCAAATAGCAGGGTGTAGTGTGTTTCAGCAAAAAAAACACATACTGGGATATTTCCAACCGTTTAACACTTGGTTGGGTTTGCCCGACTGTGATTGGGTAACGAAAACGAAATATTTGACGAGTAAGCGAAAAAATCACAGCGAACTACCAAAACAGTCGAGGCCAAAACAAACCAGGGTGGGTTGGTTTGGGTGGAAAACGAGCCAAGGGGGACAGGTTCGGTCCCCCCTTCTGTCAACGTTGAGTTTCAGAGTCTCATATTTTTGGAATTTGTAAACGCTTGGTCTGCACGGGAAGTGTGCGACACAGGGCCTATAATTCACTTTTAGGCACGTAAAGGCATCAGGGTCCCCTTGTGTAGAATCCCTGATAATCAGTGTCTCTAAAAAAAAATCCCTGAAAGTTCAGTGTTCCTTTTTAAAAACCTCTGATGCATCAGTGTCCCCATTTTCTAAACGCTGATACACTTCAATAACTAGAACACACTAACTAGCTAGCTTGCATTCAATAACTAGAACACACTGCCAGCATTGCTATGCTGCAACCCTGTGATTGGTCAACCCATGCAATGATGCGAAACTGGGCAACGATCGTTCCACGCGCGCCAAATTCAACAGCCCACCAGGTGTAAAACTCGGGTAAAACTTGTCTCGTTCTCACCGCCAGGTGGTGCTGGCGGTTAGTACCAGATGAATTTTTTTCCAAACACCGCGGGAATCTGATATTCCCTGTACTTCGGGGCACCTACACTCGGCACGTGTAGGAACCGCATTCAGGGTCAGTTTCGTTACAACGTAAAGTGATCAGTGTCCTTTCGAAAAAAAACCTGAAAGATCAGAGTCATCTGGCACCTAAAGGCTGAAAAATCAGCCCCTAAAAAAACTGAACACTGGAAAATCAGGATAGGTACAAAAAAATCCCTGAAAATCAGGAATTTCAGGGAAAAAATCCTGATAACGTAGGGCCTGGTGCGACAGCCAACTTTCCCAAACCACCCCTTGCTTTGGTGTGCTTTGCGACAAACTTTGCTGTTACCAAATTCCAACCGTTTAACACTTGGTTGGATAGCAGAAATATGAGACGCGAGCTTTAAGCTTTTCTTGCCTAGCAACCAGGGATCAAGGTTTTACACATCAGGTGGGTGTATATCCTGTCCTGAAGTGGCTAAAGCACCTTAAGCATCAACAAGCAGTGCATTCACTTCACGTGTAATGGCCGGTCCGTTGTAACTTGTACGTGCCCTGATGCTCCCTGGACCCTGGGTGTCGACAGCATGTGTTGTCAGCAACCCCTTCAAACTGTTATGGTATGTGCCATGAAGCTCAGAAAGGGTTTGCCAATGGCTCAACCAGTAGGTGCATACCGAAACTCGCCCGCAGAGTGACAGCACTGATGGGGGAGTGCTTGTAGGCGGGGGAGAGGCGCTATGAGAACTGCCTGAGGATGTGCGCTAGCACCACCTTTGCTTCCGTGAGGGCAAAGTTGTTCCCGATGCAGATACGCGGGCCCGAACCAAAGGGTAGGAATGCCTGAGGGTGAGAACAGGCTTCATCTGTCCCTTCTGGAATGGGTGGGGTTTGAGGAGGGTATGAGGGAGAACGGTCAAAGGAGGAACGTGATATACCAGTAATGAATACAACCACAAAGAATTGAAGTTCTGTGGAAGAGGAATCTTAGGGGAAAGAACGGGGAAGGGGAAACGAGAGGAGGAAAACGGCACAGGCATGCAGACGAGAATCGTGAAGAAAGCAGTGGGGAGAAACAGAAACGGCAACAAAACCAATGGAACAAGGAACATGAGGCACGACAAAAAAGGAGACTGGCTGGCAAAGCGGTCGGGGTTGAAGTGGAGTACATGCAGGCCCCAGTAGCGATTGCAAGACGACAAAGGAGGAAAAGAAAACGACAAAGAGCTGGGCAAAGAATTGGGCAAAGATGAGGGCAAAGAATTGGGCAAAGATGAGGGCAAAGAATTGGGCAAAGATGAGGGCAAGTGGACTGACTGGCGAAGCGGTCGGGGTTGAAGTGGAGGGCTTGAGGGCCCCAGTAGCGCGGGTCATAGTGCAATAGAGCCACCGGTATCAGCGCGTTCACACCCCGCGGCACGTCATATGGGCCCAGCATGCACGCCTGGAAAGGGGAGGTGTGGTGAGAAGGACGGAGTGAGCATTCCAGGCCACCAATGTCCTTGTGGGTCATAGTGCAGCATGGCGACTGGTATCAGCACGTCCATGCCCCGCGGCACGTCGTATGGTCCCAGCCTGCACGCCTGGAAGGGGGGGGTGCGGTGAGAAGGGAGGAGTGAGCATTCCAAGGCACCAGAGTCCTTGTGGGTCATAGTGCAGCAGGGCGACTGGTATCAGCACGTCCGTGCCCCTCGGAAGGTCAATACGGGCACAGCCTGCACGCCTGCGGGGGGGAGAGGGTAAGGAGGAGAGAGCGAGCAGGAGAGAGTGTGGAGGACGGGGTGGGGCTACGAGATTGAGGAGGAAGGCAGGCTGTGTGAGTGGGTGGGCGATGAGGCTGAGAGCTTCAGAAAGATAGAACTAGAATAAGCCCCCCTTTAACCATCTCAACCCCCCTGCCACTAATAATTCAATCAACAACCCAGTGCCAATCGGAACCCACAGCCCATGTGTACCTGCTGGCACGTGCGGCCCAGGAAGGGGACTGCCGCCCCCTCCCTCGTCGCCTCCCATCTTCCACCTGCCTCTGACCCTGCCTTGTCTGCTGCTCCCGCTGCTGTGCTGGCTGTGGGGACTGCTGACGTGTCTCCTGCCCCCTGCTGAGTCAGCGCCTGCTTGAGCTCTGCTCTCAGCCGCTCCTGCCAGTCGGGATGCTTCGCCAGAAGATAGAACGTCCACGTCAGCAGGTGTGCCGTGGTGCTGTGGCCTGGCGTTGGGGGGCGAAGGGGAGAGGGGCACAGAGGAAGATGGGAGGCGACGAGGGAGGGGGCGGCAGAAGGAAGATGGGCATTGGTGAAATGGGAAGGGGAGGCAACACGACGCACAGAAGGGAGGCAATGCAGAGAAGATGGTTGATAATGCGAGTGCTGTAGGAGGGGAGGGGGGAGGGGGGAGGGGGGAGGGGGGAGGGGGGAGGGGGGAGGGGGGAGGGGGGAAGAAAAGTAACAGGGAAGCAAATGGCTGAGTGGAGAGGAGAAGGGAAGAAAACGAACAGGAATTAAGGTAAGATTGAATGTGGGCTTGGGAAGGGCGGGGAATGGATATGAAGGGAGAGAAGAAAGTATAGCGGAGTGGGCCAGTAGCAGCGAGGAAAAACGCGAGGTATTCGTTGTAAAGAGACAGTTTTGGGGACGTCTCGAGAAACGAGAGGCATTCATAGCTTCGGGTTTGTCATCTTCTGTCTGTGATTTACGCTGAGTTAAAAGTTAATTCAGTCAACTCGACTGAAAGCACAAGGGCAGTACGCGCATACCAGCGAGGAGGAAGGCGATGCATCCATGAGCTGCTGATCCGTCATCTGCTCGTGATGACTTTCGGTTGACTTACAAGTCATTTGACTTGGAAGTCATTTTAAGTTGACTTAGAAGACATTTTGAGTCGATTCAAAAGGAGCATACCAGCGAGGAGGAAGGTGATGCACTCGTCCATGAGCTGCTGGTCCGTCATCTGCTCGTTGCCTGCCTCGTCATGTGCTGCCAGCATCAACGCCAACAGGTCCCGTGCACCCCGCCCTGCTGCCCCCCCCTGCTGCTCTCCATGTGCTGCCTCCTCCGCACGCACTGCTGCTGCTGCCCGCCTCTTGCCAATCAGGTGCAGGGTCAGGTTGCGGATGCTCCTTCCTGCTGCCCAGAGGGCAAAGTTCTCGGGAATTGGCAAGATGCTGCGATGGGGGGATAGCAAGAGTGCGGAAAGGGAGTTGGGCGATATATTCGCCCCCCCTGGCTGAACAATACATGCAGAGATAAGAGCGGGGATGGACTCAGTGCCTGGAGAATCCGCAGTAAACAAGGACAAGGACCCAGGCTCGGAACAGAAAAAAATCAATTCTTTCCGAATGATTATCTCAAGGCATGGTGGAGGCACGGTGGAGGCGCGGTGGGGGCAGCAGACTTACTCATAGAAGGGCACGAGGGAGCGCCAGGAGGTGACCCTCTTGGAATCCAGCTCGGCCAGCTTCGACAACGCCTTGTACACCTGCACTGGTCTGGTGCCCCTGCCCCCGCTGCCGCTGCTGTTGCTGGTAGTAATTGTGTTGCTGGTAGTAATTGTGTTGCTGGTAGTAATTGTGTTGCTGGTACCTGTCTCACTAGTGCAGGATCCGTTACAACCAGTTGCACCGTGGCCCCTACAGTGAACCCGAACACGTCCCCATACTGCTCGCGCCACAGGTGCAGCCGCGGAAGCAACACAGCAGGGCCGTGGGTGGAGGGGGGAGATTCAGGGGAGGGGGACGCGGAGGAGGGGGAGGCGGAGGCGGAGGAGGCGGGAGAGGGGGTTTGGTTGGGGGACGGTGGGGAAGAGTGCGGGGTGCGACGGTAGAGGTCGAGCGCTTGACCAATGAGAGGCCTGGAGTGCATGGGAGGAGGGGATGTCAGGAAGGCATGATGTGAGGAGAGACATGGGGGGTGGGGGTTCGGGGAGTTTTAAGTTGTCTCAGAAGAATGGAGGGGTGGGGGAGTTGTGAGTCGCCTCAGAAGCGGGAGATGGGGAGTGCGGTGAGGGGAACGGAGAAGAGCGGTTCGAGATTGGGTAAGGGGAGGCGAGGCGCGAGTGTGTCTGGATTCTTTAAGGGGCATAAATAACGAGAATAAGTGTCCATCGAACAGCAGAAATTAACGATATAGTATTCTGGAGGAAACTTCTACTACGATGCAGCGGAATGGCTCGAATAAGCCTTAGATGTACGCGGCTTGAGCAGAACGAACGGAATGAATGTCGTTCTTGAAACGGCAAGTATGAAATGCTTTTCTTGAACCGGCGGAAGAAAAGGGCCTTACTTAGAGGCGGGAACGAAATGCCTTACTTGAACGGCAGGAAGGGAATGCCTTGCTTCTTACACAGCCGCATTATGCGGTACGGCACATACACAAGGCGATACGCGAGGTACAGCGTTCCGACTGCTATCCCAGCCCACGGAACGAAGGCTAACCACCAGGGAACTTGGTGCTGCCACGTGGCACCATCGTGCCATGCTACAGTGCTAGACTCAGACAGTATGGTCATGGGAACAGCAGGAATTTCTGAAAACAGATTACGATAGAGAGCAGTGGAGGGAAGTTATGCTAAATCCACTCGAGGAACAAAGCACTGAACAGCCAGCACTCAAAATTCTGAGCGATGGAGTCGAATTCCTTCCACACATACATTTTTCCAAAACAGCCCCACCATACCAGCCAAGGTCTGGAATCTGGGACGAAAATCGAGGTTGAAATCTGACAGCTTCGGAACGCTGTTTTGTAGGACTCCGAACCGGAGCGACCCAATACAGTTCAATTCAGGCTTGGTTCGAGTCTCGCTGGTTTGGATTTTCGGGATTTTTGTTGGATTTCGCATTCCAAACTATAACGACAGAATTTGGGTTCGCGAAATGTGGCGATCTGCGATCTGAGAACTTTGAAGGGGCACGAGTGGAGTTGCGATGCGTGGAAGGCGAACCCTAAATTCGGCTAAGGGCGGGTCCAACTTTGCACACTCCCGTTTTTTTCGTTATTTTTACGTCAATGCACTAGTCAAACTTGACTGTACCCCAGGGCGAACTCCAAACATTCCCTGTCCAGTTCCGAGTGCACAATTCGGACTTTTGACAAGGTACAGTAACGCTGCAGGGTACAGCACCTGGAATGAGGGGTTACCCAATAAAGAGAGGTTTTTCGCACCTTTGACGCAGGGGGGATTCATTCGCGAACACAAAGTAGCGAAAACGGGTGTGATCCTTTTGGCGTGTTCGACGCGAAACGAGCTTGACGTGAACCTTCGGACGTGTTCTGCACGTTCCCGGGCACGTTTCCGTAATGGCATCATACATGTAAAGTCTCGCGTCAAATGGATTATGGTACGTTTGTAATTCTGTTACATACCGACATGTGGTAACTGATCTGAAACATTATCGTACGTGTGCAAAGTTGGACCCGCCCTAACCAGCAACAATCGTGGAAGAGCGCATTCGACGCACTCGCACTACTAAAGGGGGAATTTTTAACACTCCTTCTTATTAGTGTAGTCCGGGGCCTTGGTTAGGGTGCGAGGGGGAATTCGGTGACTGTGGCCTCGACGAAAGCGTGCGACGTCGCTGCTCACAAGGCCCCTGTCAACGCCTCGGTTTGTTAGAGCTTGGAAACTTCCTAGAAAAAATTGTAACAGAAAGGCGTGCGACGTCGCTACTCACAAGGGCGCCGTAGGCAATTCGTGAGAGGGTTTCGGCGTTAGATTATGAGCAGCGCTCTCGCCGCGCCCGCGTTCTCTCGCCGCGCCTCCCATAGCTCTGCGCAGCACCTGCAGCAAAGTTAGCTCGTCAGGATCGCCGGCAGATAACTCGCACTACTACCACTCCTCTGTCGGTTGGCAATAGCCTGCGAACCAACCTCCAACATCCTCTCCCCTCACACATGTTGTCACTCGCGCCCACTGCAGCTCGGCTTGCCCGCTTTCTCACACTCGGCTTGCCCGCTTTCTCACACTCGGCTTGCCCGCTTTCTCACACTCGTCTTGCCCGCTTTCTCACATTCGGTTTGCCCGCTTTCTCACACTCGGTTTGCCCGTTTTTTCACACTCGGATTGCCCGCTTTCTCACACTCGGCTTGCCCGCTTTCTCACCCTCGCCTTGCCCGCTTTCTCACACTCGGTTTGCCCGCTTTCTCACACTCGGCTTGCCCGCTTTCTCACACTCGGCTTGCCTGCTTTCTCACACTCGGCTTGCCCGCCTTCTCACACTCGATTTGCCCGCTTTCTCACACTCGGCTTGCCCGCTTTCTCACCCTCGGCTTGCCCGCTTTCTCACACTCGGTTTGCCCGCTTTCTCACACTCGGCTTGCCCGCTTTCTCACACTCGGCTTGCCCGCTTTCTCACACTCGGTTTGCCCGCTTTCTCACACTCGGTTTGCCCGTATTTTCACACTCGGTTTGCCCGCTTTCTCACACTCGGCTTGCCCGCTTTCTCATACTCGGCTTGCCCGCTTTCTCACACTCGGTTTGCCCGCTTTCTCACACTCGGTCTGCCCGCTTTCTCACCCTCGGCTTGCCCTCTTTCTCAAACTCGGCTTGCCCGCTTTCTCACACTCGGCTTGCCCGCCTTCTCACACTCGGCTTGCCCGCTTTCTCACACTCGATTTGCCCGCCTTCTCACACTCGGTTTGCCCGCTTTCTCACACTCGGCTTCCCGCTTTCTCGCACTCGGTTTGCCCGCTTTCTCACACTCAGTTTGCCCGCCTTCTCACACTCGGTTTGCCCGCTTTCTCACACTGGGCTTGCCCGCTTTCTCACACTCGGTTTGTCCACTTTCTCACACTTGGTTTGCCCGCTTTCTCACGCTCGGTTTGCCCGCCTTCTCACGCTCGGCTTGCCCGCTTTCTCACACTCGGTTTGCCCGCTTTCTCACACTCGGCTTGCCCGCTTTCTCACCCTCGGCTTGCCCGCTTTCTCACACTCGGTTTGCCCGCTTTCTCACACTCGGTTTGCCCGCTTTTTCACACTCGGTTTGCCCGCTTTCTCACACTCGGCTTGCCCGCTTTCTCACACTCGGCTTGCCCGCTTTCTCACACTCGGCTTGCCCGCCTTCTCACACTCGGTTTGCCCGCTTTCTCACACTGGGCTTGCCCGCTTTCTCACACTCGGTTTGCCCGCTTTCTCACTCTCGGTTTGCCCACTTTCTCACCCCCGGCTTGCCCGCTTTCTCACACTCGGTTTGCCCGCTTTCTCACACTCGGCTTGCCTCCGCTTGCCCGCTTTCTCACACTCGGTTTGCCCGCTTTCTCACACTCGGCTTGCCCGCTTTCTCACACTCGGCTTGCCCGCTTTCTCACACTCGGCTTGCCCGCTTTCTCACACTCGGTTTGCCCGCTTTCTCACACTCGGTTTGCCCGTATTTTCACACTCGGTTTGCCCGCTTTCTCACACTCGGCTTGCCCGCTTTCTCATACTCGGCTTGCCCGCTTTCTCACACTCGGTTTGCCCGCTTTCTCACACTCGGTCTGCCCGCTTTCTCACCCTCGGCTTGCCCTCTTTCTCAAACTCGGCTTGCCCGCTTTCTCACACTCGGCTTGCCCGCTTTCTCACACTCGATTTGCCCGCCTTCTCACACTCGGTTTGCCCGCTTTCTCACACTCGGCTTCCCGCTTTCTCGCACTCGGTTTGCCCGCTTTCTCACACTCAGTTTGCCCGCCTTCTCACACTCGGTTTGCCCGCTTTCTCACACTGGGCTTGCCCGCTTTCTCACACTCGGTTTGTCCACTTTCTCACACTTGGTTTGCCCGCTTTCTCACGCTCGGTTTGCCCGCCTTCTCACGCTCGGCTTGCCCGCTTTCTCACACTCGGTTTGCCCGCTTTCTCACACTCGGCTTGCCCGCTTTCTCACACTCGGCTTGCCCGCCTTCTCACACTCGGCTTGCCCGCTTTCTCACACTCGGTTTGCCCGCTTTCTCACACTCAGCTTGCCCGCTTTCTCACACTCGGCTTGCCCGCTTTCTCACACTCGGCTTGCCCACTTTCTCACACTCGGCTTGCCCGCTTTCTCACACTCGGCTTGCCCGCCTTCTCACACACGGCGGCCCGCCGAAGTCCATTCGAGCCCGCCCCCTACCCTCTCTTCTCTTCACTTTTCTTCCATTCTCTTCCGTATCGTTCTCTTTCGTCCCTTCCCTTCGCATCCTATCCTTTTAATTCCGTTTCATTACTTTTCCCCCCTTCTACTGCCCCTCCCTTCCCATATTCCCTTCCCTTTCCAACAGTTTCATTCCGCTACCCTCCTTTCCCTCCTCTTCCCTTCCCTCCATTCCATTCCCGTCCCTCCCTTTCCATTTCCGTCCCTCTCCTTTCCCTCCACACCAATTTACCCCCCTTGCTTGCCTTCAATCTCCCCCTCGCCCTCAGTTTCCCCCCTCCTTGCCCTCAGTTTCCCCCCTCCTTTCCCTCAGTTTCCCCCCTCCTTGCCCTCAGTTTCCCCCCTCCTTGACCCTCAGTTTCCCCCCGCCTTGCCCTCAGTTTCCCCACCCCCCCTCCTGGCCCTCAGTTTCCCACCTCCTTGCCCTCAGTTTCCCCCCTCCTTGCCCTCAGTTTCCCTCCCCCCCCCCTTGCCCTCAGTTTCCCCTCTCCTTGCCCTCAGTTTCCCTCCCCTCCCCTTGCCCTCAGTTTCCTCCCTCCTTGCCCTCAGTTTCCCCTCTCCTTGCCCTCAGTTTCCACCCTCCTTGCCCTCAGCTCCCCCCCTCCTTGCCCTCAGTTTCCCCTCTCCTTGCCCTCATTTTCCACCCTCCTTGCTCTCAGTTTCTCCCCTGCTTGCCCTCAGTTTCCCCCCTTGCCTCGTTCCACTACTGTTTTCCTGTGCTTCCACATGCTTCCCATCATTTTCCACCAATTCTAACCCTGTCTTCTCCCCCCTGCTTGGGCTTGTTCCGTCCTGCTCGCCCTCGTTCCTCCCACCCCCGTTCCGACTGTTTTCCCACCCTTCCCCTCGTCCTTGTTCCCTTAAATTTCTCATCCCTTGTGAAGGGTAGGGAAGGGAAGCTTCTCCTTCCCCCCTCTTTCTTACCCCTCCTTTCTCCCTTCCCTTTCTCTCTCACCCCTTATGAAGGGTAGGGGTTTACAGACTGTAACCTACCCCCCTTGCTTGCCTGCTTACACTCTGTCTGTTCACCTCTCCATAGCAAGGCAATCTGGAGAGCACAACTCGAAGGCTATCCCTCTCCTTGAGTGCTGCCCTTGGCAACATGTTGGAACCAAAGACCAGTCAATTTTTTATTAAGGCTTGTGTGTGCTGGTGCCCCCAGTGTACCTACCGTATCAATCCATCCACCAGCATTTTAGACTGGGTAATTATTTTATGTGCTGTTCAGTACTTACTACAATCCAATGTTGTTGACATAGCAGCAGCACAGCACTCATTGTAAACCATCCTCATCAGATTGTTGCATTATGTACAGACCAATCGCCTCATTGGCTAACCGCCCTTCCCGTTCTTCCCTCCTACATTGCTACTGAACCTTGAAGCCCTCGGTACACCATGCCCCTTCCACGTCCACCCAGACCACCCGGTTCATCTCATGCTGCCTCATCCGTTGCATAATAACTCACTACGACATTACCGTACATTTTGATTAAAAGGGAACAACCTTGTTTGATTACTAACCTTCATACCCTATGATTCTTAGGTTCTAAATACGAATAGAAGAACTCTAAATCTGACTCCAATTTGTTCCAGTCTCTTTTAATCAGTTATTCCAAAACAGCCGATACAAGCTGTGGTATTGACATGAGCCTTCTTTGAACAAGTAGAAAACAAGTGTGTTCTATCACCATAACAAGTCTTTAAATAAATGCGGTTGTTACTAGTCAGGCTAACGGTTGTTGCATGTTACCACTGCTGCCTTGATGCCTTGGCGTTTTTCTTTGTCGCCAAGTCGTGTTGCAGCGTTGTAGCAGGCTTTATGGGGATGGAGTAAACTTCAAGCATACATGCGCATGGTGGTTAGGTAGGTATGTGTGTCTATTGATCGACATGGCATGGCCACTGGCCATGGCTTCATGTCGTAGCATAGATATCGGGCAGTGCAGCCGACCATGCGAAAAAAATCGGCCGCGCAGCCGAGCATGTCGATGTCCATCAGTCCCGATCGGGTTCCACATTTTTGCGATGATAGAGTCTATCTGCCCGCCGCTCCCGCCTCGCCATTTGCTGGCATGTTCTTCCGCCTTCCGCCAGATTTTGTGTTTTTTTTTTTCGCGATGATCATGCTGTCAGTCCCTCGTGCCAACCGACTCGTTACAAAGGATCGTGAGAGGAGGGACTGATTATTACGAGCAATTCCAGCGGCGGTGAAGAGCATGTGCAGTTTCTCTCCAGTAAGCTACTCTTCATCGGCGTCCCCCCTCCAGCCAGCGCCTGTGCAGCATTTCTCCCTGGTAGGCTACTCTTCCTCGGCGTCCTTATAGGGAGGCTCCTCCAGCCACCATGGCTCGCCAGACGCCTCCGCCGCTCGCAATGCTGGTCCTCGCCGTCTTCTTCTCGTCGGCTGTTGCTGCTATAGAGTATACTCCTGCCCGCATAATTCTCGCCAGCAACAAATACACCTTCGTCCCGGCGACCAACAGCATTTTATTCGGCAATGCATACTCGGTGACGTGGGGTCCCACGGGAATCACCTCCGCCGTTGACTCCCATGGAGCGCCTCTTAAAGTCGTCAATAGGCCTGACGGATCCGTCGCTATTGATAAAGCGTACGCCGTCTACGACAACGGCACGTTCATCGGTCCAGGCATTGTCATCGCCATAAATGGGCCGACTGCCGGGTTCACTATGGGAAAGACGACGTTCCTGAAGAGCGGAAAGATTGTGGACGCCTCGGGAAAGCCAGTTGTGGCAACTGTTAATGAGGACGGGTCGTACACTGCAGGGGACCTGTCTGGGTGGAACAATGATGGCACCATTGTTGGCCCCACTGGTGCATCGATCTATCTTGGCGCACCGCTCACGCTCAACCCTGATGGCACCGTTGGTTTCGCCAGCAACACTACTAGTGGCAGTGCTCCTTCTGCTGCTCCGGCTCCTCCTCCCCCACCCAAGGCTGCAGGTAACTTGTTACTTCTGTGCCCCTTATTGCTGTGCCATTCGTTCTTCCGCTTTCTGTTGCCCCTCTTTAGCAATCTTCGTGGTACCTCACCATGTAACCCCCCTTCACATTTCCACACTTCAATCTGGTTCCTCTTTTCATCATCCCTTTGTTTCCTGGGAGCGGCCCGTTGTTAGTTCTGCCCTCATTCTTATTGTCTTGTTGCCACCCTCCCAATGGCAGGTTTGCTTGCTACACCGGTCACTGCTCTCACTGCTCTCATCACTCTGATGCTTGGCACAATCCTATTCGTGTAATGTGCCTGCTCCTGGCGGCACCACAGGACTAGGCTCACGGTCAGTCTAGGCACAGGTGGCAGTGATTCTAGTGTGCGTGTGTGTGTGTGTGTGTGTGTGTGTGTGTGTGTGTGTGTGTGTGTGTGTGGGTGTGTGTGGGGGGGTGTGTGTGCGTGCGTGCGTGCGTGCGTGTGTGTGCGTGTGTGTGTGTGTGTGTGTGTGCGTGTGTGAGTGTGAGTACAGATGAAGCATTGGACAAGTATGTAACCTCGGCCAGAATAGATAGCAAAGCTTTGATTGACAATTCCGTTAGGGCTCACTGATGGTCACAGGGATGGGCCAAGCCATAAGGCTTCAGCTTCAGCCTCACTAGCGGCTATCGAAACGACAGCTGCTGCAATGTGGCTGCACGCTCTGAGGTTTATTTCCTATGTCTCTTCAATGAGCGAGAGGCTTTGCACCATGACAACATCCACTTGAAAACTATTGGGTTGAGAAAAACCGTTAGGGTATTGACTAGACGTGATTGACTAGACCAGCATGGCTTGTACAAAACAGACCTGTCAAGCAACATGCACACAACAGCAGTCGCCAGTCATTCTAAAGTAATCAGAACCACCTACCTAGCTACTGCAAAACCCTGGCAGGTCTGCCAGCAAAATCCTAGTCACAATCGCAACAGCCCTTCAGAATAGAACAGCCAACTTGTACTGAAGCACGCTGGCGGTGCTGCCACTTGTGTCTTCCTCCTGCGATTTGGCATTTTCACTGACTTGTCTCTCCTGCTGTTTCATGTGTAACACACTGCTCTACACAAAGAGCAGGGAGGTGAGCGCAACAGTGATGGCGGTGGCCAAGGCAGTGACCGGTGAAGTGAGAGAACCTGGCAAGGGGAAGGGAGGGTGGAGTGGAGAGTCAGTCACATGAGAGAAATGGCAAATCAAGGGCATGTGATTGCACGGAAAGAAAGAAGGGGGCGGAGCGGAGGAAATCAGGGAAACAATGAGGGGTAACAGGGTGAAACTACAGCTGCAAAGACACGAGCGAAGTGGTTGTGACCAACCCAAAGCAGAACAAAGGCGTGGAAGAAGCAACATACCAGCAGGCTTGGGTGGTGGCGGTGCGGCAGCAGAGGAGGAGGGAGTAGCGGAGGAGGGAGTGGGAGATGCAGGGGAGGTGCTGGGACTGGGAGTAACAGCAGCAAAGCTGATGGTGCCGTCGGGGCCGATGGTGGTCTTTCTGAAGGTGCTCACAGCCGCACCGTTCGTCCCTGTGATGGTGCTGTTGCTGTACACCGTCAGATCTCCCGCCGTCGCTGCTGATCCATCCGAGTTCACCGTTGGCTGAATCGCCTGCCCTGCTGCATCCAGCACCGTGCCATTGGCCAGGATTGTCGTGGCTCCGATGGTGAGCCGCCCACCGGTCTCAGCAAAGGAGAGGCCAGGTGCAGTGAAGGTGTTGTTGGGATAGAAGGTGTAGTCTCCGCCCACAGAGACAGACCCGTCTGTGTTCTTGCTGGGGGAGACGAGCGCACCGGCGGAGTCAACAACCGTGCCGTTGGGGAAGCGAGTGTAGCCGGGTCCAAACGACAGGCTGCCATCGGGGTTGAACGTCACGCTGCCGCCGCTGGAAGGGGGGGGGGCGGGGGAAGGAACGGGGCCAGGGAGGGAGCCAGGCGCAGGGGCAGAGCCAGGAGCGCCGACGGTGATGGTGCCATCGGGGCCGATGGTGAACTGCTTGCCAGTGTTGACCACGGCACCGTTGGCGCCCACAAGTGTGCCGTTCTCATACCCTGTGATGTCACCCGCTGTGAACGACCCATCCCCGTTATCCGTCGGTACAATGGGCGCTCCAGCCGCGTCCAGCGCCGTGCCATTGGGCAGCATTGTCGTGCCGCCAATTGTGACTCCGGTCGTGCCGGCCATGCTGACAGCAACGCCAGGAGCAGTGAGCGTGCCGTTGAGGTAGGCAGTGTAGTCGCCGCCGACAGTGAAGGAGCCGTCCGGATTGCGAGTGGGAGAGACAGCGGCGCCAGTGGAGTCAGTGACTGTGCCGTTGGCCAGGAGAGTGTAGCCGGGCCCGAATGACAAGGTGTTGTCCGGGTTGAACGTCACCCTGGTGCCGCTGGGGTCAGAGGGAGTGGGACCAGGGTTAGAGCCAGGAGCAGTCTCAGACCCAGGGGCAGTTTCAGAGCCAGGGGCAGTTTCAGAGCCAGGGGCAGTTTCAGAGCCAGGTGCAGTCTCAGAGCCAGGTGCAGCCTCAGAGCCAGGTGTAGCCTCAGAGCCAGGTGCAGTCTCGGACCCAGGTGCAGGAACAGAGCCAGGCGAAGCCTCAGAGCCAGGCGCAATTTCAGACCCAGGTGCAGGAACAGAGCCAGGGGCAGTTTCAGAGCCAGGTGCAGCCTCAGAGCCAGGTGCAGGGGCGGAGCCAGGCGCGGGGATGGAACCAGGGGCAGCAGATGTGACAGTGATGGTGCCATCAGGGTTGATGGTGAACTGCTTGCCAGTGTTGACCACGGCACCGTTGGCGCCCACAAGTGTGCCGTTCTCATACCCAGTCAGCTCGCCTGCTGTGAACGACCCGTCCCCATTATCCATCGGCGTGATCGGCGCTCCAGCCGCGTCCAGCACCGTGCCATTGGTGAGCATCTTCGTGCTGCCTATTGTGACTCCGGGCGTGCCGACGAGGTCGATGGCAACGCCGGGAGCTGCGAGCGTGCCGTTGAGGTAGGCAGTGTAGCCAGCGCCAACAGAGTAGGACCCATCCGGATTGAGGATGGGAGCAACAGGGGCTCCAGAGGAGTCAAGCACCGTGCCGTTTGCCAGCATGGTGTAGCCGGGCCCGAAAGACAGGCTGTCATCGGGATTGAACGTCAGATTGGTGCTGCTGGGGTCAGAGGGAATGGGACCAGGGATGGAGCCAGGCGCAGGGATGGAGCCAGGAGCGGGGATGGAGCCAGGCGCAGGAGAGGTGACGGCGATGATGCCATCGGGGCTGACGGCGAACTGCTTGCCAGTGTTGACCACGGCACCATTGGCGCCCACAAGCGTGCCGTTCGGAAACCCTGTGATGTCACCCGCCGTGAACGACCCGTCTGCATTCGGCGTTGGCTTAATCGGCTTTCCAGCCCCGTCCAGCACCGTGCCATTGGCCAGCATCGTTGTGCTGCCAATTGTGTATTCAGGCGCGCCGGAGACAGTGGCGATGGAAACACCGGGAGCAGTGACCGTGCCATTGATGTACGCCGTGTAGTCACCGGCAACGGAATACGACCCATCCGGGTTGACAGTGGGCGTGACAAAAGCTCCAGTGGAGTCAACCACCTGGCCGTTAGGTAGCATGGTGTAGCCGGGTCCGACGGTCAGGCTGCCATCGGGGTTCACAGTCAGGCTGGTGCTGCTGGGGTCGGCGATAACAGCGATCGTGCCGTCCGGATTGACAGCGAATTTCTTGCCGCTCTCCACCACCGACCCGTCGGGACCCACAATCGTGCCGTTGGGGAAGGCAGTGTACTTGCCGCCAACAGTGAACGAGCCGTCGGGATTGGCAACGGGAGCGACGGGCTTGCCAGCTGCGTCGACCACCGTGCCGTTGGGCAGCACCTTATAGTCCGCGCCCAACGCCACACTGCCGTCCGGGTTCACGCCTCCGCCGCTGCCCGTGCTTCCGCCCGTGCCCGTGCCTCCGCCGGTGCCTGTGCTCCCGCCGGTGCCCGTGCTTCCGCCGGTGCCTGTGCTTCCGCCCGTGCCTGTGCTCCCGCCGGTGCCCGTGCTTCCGCCGGTGCCTGTGCTTCCGCCCGTGCCCGTGCTTCCGCCGGTGCCCGTGCCTCCGCTGGTGCCCGTGCCTCCGCCGGTGCCCGTGCCTCCGCCGGTGCCTGTGCTTCCGCCGGTGCTCGTGCTTCCGCCAGTGCCCGTGCTTCCTCCAGTGCCCGTGCTTCCGCCGGTGCCCGTGCCACCGCCAGTGCCCGTGCCTCCGCCAGTGCCCGTGCCTCCGCCCGTGCCCGTGGCACCGCCGGTACCCGTGCCTCCACCAGTGCCCGTGCTTCCGCCAGTGCCCGTGCTTCCGCCAGTGCCCGTGCTTCCGCCAGTGCCCGTGCTTCCGCCAGTGCCCGTACCTCCGCCAGTACCCGTGCCTCCGCCAGTACCCGTGCCTCCGCCAGTACCCGTGCCTCCGCCAGTTCCCGTTCCTCCGCCGGTGCCCGTACTCCCGCCAGTGCCCGTGCCTCCGCCAGTGCCCGTGCCACCGCCGGTGCCCGTGCCTCCGCCGCTACCGGTGCTTCCGCCGCCATTCGTTGGTTTGAACGAGAGGCGCGTTCGCAGCACGACGCCATTGGAGCCGCGGAACGTGCCGTTCGCCCAGCCGGTGATGTCGCCGGCGGTGAACGAGCCGTCGGGATTCTCAACCCACGGAATCACCGCGTCCGTCGCCGCGTTCCGCGCGATGCCGCCCTTGCCGTACAGCTTCGTGTTCGCGATTTCCACGAAGCTGGCCGCGCCGGCGATGTAGATAATCACTCCGGGTGCGGCGATGGTGCCGTTCGGGTACCACGTGTACTTGCCTTCCACCGTGAGCGACCCGTCGGGGTTTTTGGTCGGCTTGACTTGGACGCCGGTTTCGTTGTCGTAAATGTTCTGGCCGTAGATGGTGTAGTTGTCGACCGTCAGGCTGCGGTCGATGTTGCTGATGACGAGCGTCGCGCCATTCGCTGAAGTCATGGCGGTCGTCGAGATGGTGACCGCGAGCAGCAGCAGCGCAAGCGCGAGGTACTGGCGCGCCATGGTCGAAACTCAATGGCGGCACGAAAGCGAGGTGAAAGCGCGGTGGGGTGAAATGGGAATGAGTTGAGGGTGGCGCGCCACAGCGTACGCGAAATGCGCTGCTGGAGACTCCCGCTGGCCCACTCGTTCAATTCCCGAAGTAGCTATTTTCTGACCTGGCCAAAGCTCGACCAGAGTTGATGTATTTCTGAGCATGAAGGTGTGAATGAGGAGACAGCGAGTGGTGCAAATACAGCGCAAGGGTCAAGAATTGGACCAGCTAGAATCTTCTTGCGTTGCAAGCGTTGTGCTTCCGCTCAAGCGGAATGGGTCTTCCGCTCAGTCCTCCCCCAAGAACACCAGGCGGAGCTGATTTGCTGCGCCAACGCGAGGACGCGATTTCAAGATGGTCCTTACAGGGCGGGTCATTCTTTCTTTTGACGCGGTATATTACGTTCAGCCACGTTTGGGAGCGGTATATTTCTTTCCACCGATTTAGACCAATATGCACCAGAATGAACCTTCCAAAGTCAATTGTAAACGAAGAAAACAACTCGCCCTTGCCAGAATTCAGTGGTGGCGCGCCGCCGCCTCACCTAGTGCGGTTCGTCGCTTGAGTGCTCCAGCTGGCACGGGATAGGCTGCGAAGGTGATACTGTACAATACGAGTTCACTGGAGACATTTGTCTCGCTGGAGCTATTGGGTTGGGTGTCGGGTTGCTTGCGAACGACCTTACGAAAGTCAATTCTGCAGATGCAGGTCACATGTCTTCGATAATGCGAAGTTTAGCGACATCAGCGACGCATAGCGATTGTGAGGTAGGGTTCTTATGATGGCGGAGAGCATAGCGCCCACATGCACCTAGTCTTTTGCGACTCGAGGATGGTTACAGTGCAGTGCCCACCCGAGAGTGTGGGCAGCCGCAATTCATCCAGCTTATGGGGAGGCGGAAGGACCATCGAGTTTTCGGGGACAGGGTCGGGGGAGGGGGGACTTTGACATGGGATGTAAGAGAAAGGGGGGAGGGGGGGGGAGGGGGGAGGGTGGTGGGGAGAGGAGGGGAGTGGGAATACATGGGGTGGGTGCCCGAAGATCACGATACACCGACCAAAGATCTGCTGCCACCGCAGCAAACAGAATTGCAGCGAGTTTGCCAAGCCCTGAATCGCGAGCCCAGGCGGGATGACAAGCGGGGCATGGATGGGTAAAGGGGAAGGCAGATTGAAGCTGCACACTCCATAAAGTAAGCCCCGCATAAGTTGGACGCAATAGCAAATCATGCATTACATAAAACATCAGGAATGCTTTCGCACATCTTACCTCCTGGCGTACACACCGTTCATAGGCTTGCCACTTCTTCGCCCGTTACCGATTGTGCCATTTTTTCAAACGCATTACCTTACAAGGCTGAGTCAGCCTACGCCTCGGGAATAGCTCAAAGTTGGTGGCCAGAATTGCATAGGCTAGCTCGCACGCAACATATTGTTATCGTTTGTGTCTTTCTCCATTAAAAGGTTAGCTCATTCATGCCTTCGATGACAATGATTACCTTGAAATAATATTGCAACCCCACTTTATCGTTCAAATGTATTAGAACAACCACGGGATCTTTGTTGGACAGGATAAGACTGTTAATACCGTATTTTAGGGGGGGGGGGGGCTTGTAAATGAGTATAGGGCATAAGCGCATGCGCGTTGTTGAACTGAGAAAGTCCTTAGGATCTTTTAGAGTTTAGCCTCTGTAAAGTATTGCAGCAGAAGACTTGAATTCCTGTGCTGCAAAATGGTGAGAATAAGAATTAAATACGGTAATAAAGAAGAGATACAATATATTTATAGTCTACGAAAGTACCTATTCAGAGATGTGTCAGAATCCCAACCACTAGACCATTGGGATAAAAGGGCTTGTTAAGTAGCGGGTCAATGCACCCATAACCCCCCAGGCCAACATGTCTGTAACCCTTCCCTAGGATCAATCGGGGATCACCAGTGGACCTCTGACACCCCCCCGCACTGGGATGCCCGAAGTGCACACACTGGGATTCGAACCCGAGACCTTCGCTCTGATACCATGTCAGAATCCCAACCACTAGACCATTGGGATAAAAGGGCTTGTTAAGTAGCGGGTCAGTGCACCCATAACCCCCCAGGCCAACATGCCTGTAACCCTTCCCTAGGATCAATCGGGGATCACCAGTGGACCTCTGACAAGATGTACCTGTTCATGAAACGCGCTAGATATCGAATCGAATCTACGAAGGGGTATAATCATGTGTCACGCGAACAGTCGCGCGACTGTTCGCACTACTACATGTAACTCATGCGAAGGGACACCTGCTACAGTAACATACATATATAAGAGCGTATTCCTATCCTCCTATCAATCTGACCTCCTATCAAGATTGTACTTTTTGCCTGGTAAAAGTAGCGAGAGGTTTTGGGTTGAGGGGATTTTCCAGTGTGAGCTTGATAGGAGGTCAGATTGATAGGAGGATAGGAATACGCTCTAAGAGTACTTCGATACTACTGTAGATCGAACTACTGAACTGTATAAGTCAAATTTCTTTATCCAACACTCCCCTTCAATTATGGAGTTCGATGTTGTCGGTGTTGTTGGTGATATGACCGAGTCCAGTCAGCATCATGCAATACTGGAATTTCGGACGTGGCAGGCGTTTGGTCAAGTGATCCGCAGCCATTTCGCTCGTGGGACAGTAATCGAGCTGTAACTTGCCTTGCTCGATTTCGTCCTTGACGAAGAAGTGGCGAAGTGAAATGTGTTTGGCTCGATTCGCGAACCCGGACTTGTTTGCGATGCGAATTGCAGACTGGTTGTCGCAGAAGAGCTGAAACTGTGACATGTCCAGTAACTTTGCTTCGCTAAGCAATTCGCGAAGGTAAAGTCCTTCCTTCATGGCAGTGCATGCAGCGATGAATTTTGCCTCAGCTGATGAAAGTGCAATCAGCTCCAGCTTGGATGACTGCCAGGAGATTGTTCCCACGGGCTCAAGGCGGAAGATATAACCCGTACGTGAGCGCCTGTTTGTAGTATCACCCGCGTGATCTGCATCTACGTAGCCGAGTAGAGCTAGCCGCGACTTCGGCGACTTATGATACGTCAGTCCGATAGTAGGTGTAGATACGAAGTACGAAACAGCTGCTTCCAGCTCCCGTAGGTTCTCCCCTTCAGCTCGCTTAAGATATTGAGCGAGCTGGCTAGCCGAATAAGCTAAATCCGGTCGGCATGTCACATCTGCGAAGAGTAGGCTACCCAGAAGTTGCTGATAGAGTGTCACACCCGCAGAGGTGAGAGGCTCGGATTCAGCTACTGGAGTAGAGCGGAACAGAGTTTGAGAAGTACTTATCGGTAGAGGGAAACGTTTCAGCAGCTTCTCGGCGAATTTCTCGGCGGAGAGATGAATAGCAGTAGGGGTCTCGGTGATGTTGAGCCCAAGATACTGAGTGGCATCGGTGGAGATTGTATTAATCAGGTAGGTTTTCAGCTCCCCTTCAAAGTAAGAAACAATGTCGGCCGAGCTGCCGATGTAAAGTAAGTCGTCGACGTAGACGACGAGTAGGACGTGTCAAAACATGTTTATATCATGTTAGTGATGTTAGGCTGTAGTGGGTTACTCCTTATGGGGTACAACCCTTTGTTAGGGTTGCTAGTTGTACCACTCATCCTGCTTTAGTCAATCATTACTGTTTCCTTATTCTGACATGATATTAGAGTAGGTACGTTCCTTAGGGCCCACCGAACGTTCCGCCCTGCCCGGACTTGAAACTTTTTTTTCCTGCCCTGCTGCCTGTTAGTGATGTTAGGCTGTAATGGGTTACTCCCTATGGGGTACAACCCTTTGTTAGGGTTGCTAGTTGTACCACTCATCCTGCTTTAGTCAATCATTACTGTTTCCTTATTCTGACATGGTATTAGAGTAGGTACGTTCCTTAGGGCCCACCGAACGTTCCGCCCTGCCCGGACTTGAAACTTTTTTTTCCTGCCCTGCTGCCTAGCGCCAACGCGCACCTTACTGCCCTGCCCGCGCGCGCCCAGCTGCCCTGCTACTGAGCGCCCTGCTGCCCTGCCAGGGCTCTCCTTTGCAGGGTGTTTTACCCTGATTGCCCTTCCAATCAGGGTGATTTTTTGTACCGACCCTGCCAAACCTGGGTCCCGTCCGATTCCCACCCGGCCACTATCCGGGTGGGCTATTTTTTTACGCTGCTGAGTCCGGGTTTGGACTTCTGTAACTCGGTCGTGAAAGGGTTCTCTTAAAAAGAACCCGGCCATCCCACTACTCTGTCGTCTGAGTACAAGTTTGAGCCGAGATCTCTCTGTCCCACTTCTGACTGAAATTTGTCAAACTGAGCGAGATCTCTCCACCCCACATCTGTGAAATTCGTCTAAGTATAAAGTTGAGCGGATCACTCACGACTCCCTTCTTCTGTCTGAAATTCGTCTAAGTATAGAATCCAGCCGAGATCTCTCCACTATTCTTCTCCGTGAAATTTGTCTAAAGTTTTTTGGAGATCTCTCTACTCCACTCCTCTCTCCAAAATATTTTGAAGTTAAAACTCGTCGAAAACTCCGAACTCCCGTGTTCGGACTTAAATTCGTCTAAGTAGGGAGAACTTTTCGAATCTAAGAACTCCCCTTAACGCATGCCGAGACCTCCCAGCTACCCTCGCCCCACTAAAATTCCGCTAACTGAAGCAGCACACAAGCTTGCGGAGCAAAGGCAGGGTTGCTGAAATTATGACCCTGCCACAAATCAGATTTGATAGAAAATACCCTGCCACTACCCGGATTTGGCCGGGTGTTCTCGCGCGCCCTGCTGCCCAGCACGCCAGCGTGCCCCGCTGCCCAACGCGCCAACGCGCCCCGCTGCCCGACGCGCCAGCGCGCCCTGCTGCCCAGCGCCCCAGCGCGCCCCGCTGCCCAGCGCGCAACGCTGCCCAACGCGCCAGCGCGCCCCGCTGCCCAGCGCGCCAGTGCGCCCCGCTGCCCAGCGCGCCCCACTGC